CTCCTCGAGGTTGTACTACAACTATTGCTGAGAGACCACCGCCTACTGTTGCTGGTCCTGTTACGGCTATTACTGCTCCTCCTTGGCAGAATGATATGGATGCTATCACTTTCAAATTAGATATACTTATGTCTATCCTGACTTCTCAGGGTTTGACTACTGTTATTGTGACTAGTACAAATATACCTCGTGCCTTCCATGTTTGCGTCAGTCCTTCTCCCCTTTGGATGTTGAACTTAAGTGCAAACGGTCACATGACAGGTGAGACCCATCACTTCACTACTTTCGATGAGCAGTTACACACACAGGTTCAGTTAGCATATGGGACACATACCTCGATTGTTAGAAGGGGTACAGTCTGCCTTCCAGATGGCTTTACACTACATTTGATTTTTCATGCTCCAAAGTTGGCTATAAATTTATTATTAGTACATTAGTTAGCTGGAGATTTTTATTATGCGGTTGTGTTCTTATCTAATTCGTGTTATTTACAGAACCTAAGTACCATAAGGATTATTATCAGGGGGCATAAGAGAGATGGACTGTATTATCTAGGCGATCAACCTTCAATTTCTACAGATTTAGTTCTTACATCACCTGCACTTGGCTTTATATCTCTCTGTTCCTAACTTACATGCTAGTATTTTACCTAGTACTTGTCGTTATGATTTTTTGGCATAAACTGTTCAGTTGTGGCGTGACCTTTTGAATATAAAATTTTTAAATATTTATGTATGATATTTCATGCTTTGAGTAATGCTTGTACTGTTAATAAACTTGACTATGTTATATGTTTACTATCTAAATATGTTCGAACCAGTTATATTCCTCACATCCACAAGTAACCTAAGCCATTTGACCTGATACACTCTGATATTTAAAACTTTTCCCAGTTAGTTGTTACTACTCTATCAGGTGCCCAATATTATATGACATTTATAGATGACTATACCCATTGTACTTGGGTCTACTTTTTGTATAAGAAGTCTGATGTACTCCTGTCATTACTCAGTTCTACAAATGATTAAGACACAATTCAATGTCATTATTCGTATTTTTCGTTCGGATAATGCCAAAAAATGTGTTTAATGCCTTAGTGTCTCACCTTTCTTCTCAGGGTATCCTTCAGAGTAAAATAGAGTTGCTGAAAAAAAAAATAAGAGTCTGATAGGGATAGTATGTTGTATGCTTAGAAGTATAGAGGTACCCAAATCTCATTGGCATTTTGTTGTTCGAACTTCTAACTTTCTATACAATCGCACACCGAGTCATGTTCTTCAACATAAAGCTCCCTTACAGGTCTTATTTCCTTAACACACTTTTTTCATCCATCCTTGCGTTTTTGGTTGTACATATTTTGTTCAAATCAATCTCCTACTCGCCATAAGCTTAATGATAAAGCTATTCATTGTGTCCTTGTGAGCTATTGTCATCAGTTTAAGGGGCATTGGTGTTATGATCCTATTCGGCGTCATATGTATTATAGTTTAGATGTTACCTTTCTTGAGCATATTTCTTATTTTTTTTTAGTCCCGTGTCTGTCTCTCTAGTTAATGATACTCCCTTTGTTTTTCCCTTATCACAAGAGTCAGAGCCACTCATCATTATCACTATAGAATCACCAGTCTCTCATCATTTGCAAGTTTATGTTCGTCACCTTCGCTCTCATCCCCCGACTGATATGCCCTCTACCTCAAGCGATGCAAGTAATGATGGTTGAGCTTGTTGTTAGTGCTGATGCATCTGTTGTTAGCATTGGTAAGACTGTAAGTGGTGAGCCAATCGATTTACCTGATAAGAGTTTATTAGTGGAGGATGATGATTTAGCGCGTCATTATCTGCAGTGTGAACGCCAGCTAGTTTTTCGTTATTGATCAAGGATCAAAATGTCGTGTCGACACGTCCGAAACGTCCGAAACGTTTCGGAATTTCAACACTCCGAAACGAAACAGTAGTTGAATCACAAAATTCCAGTGTTTCGGTCGAAACGGTACTGTTTCGGACCGTTTCGGTCGAAACGGCATTGTTTCGAACCGTTTCGACAAAACAGTGATATATTCGGTTCATTATGAATAATTATATTTAATACCCCATTATAATTACATTTAATACCCACTGTAATTACATTTAATACTCACTATAATTATATTTAATATCCCACTATAATTACCTTTAATTCTCACTGCTCTTCTGTCTTTTATAATTTTTTTGTTATAAGAATAAATAATTACACTTAATACCCTACTATAATTATATTTAATACCCATTATAATTATATTTAATACATACTGTAATTATATTTAATACCTCACTGCTGTGCAAGTTTTTTGCTTTTTTTTTTGTTATAAGTATTAACAATTACATTTAATACCCTAATGTAATTATATTTAATACCTACTGTAATTACATTTAATATCCACTGCAATTACATTTAATTTTTAAGTATACATAAGTATCATTAATTTAATTTGATACCCTTCATTATTAGTATTATAATAAAATAGTATTATTAATTGGATTATATTACCGTAATAATATGATTTGGAGTAACTATTGTCATCATATTTATGTCACATATGGAGTTTCTCTAAGTAGCTACCCAGAGCCTACACCGATGTATGAGCCTGCTCGACACTCCACAGGGGAATGGATGTAACCATGTAAGTATGTACTCATTAGCATTTCATGTGTATTATAAGACCTTAATATTATGTAAAAATGTGTTTATTTCATAAAAATTAAGTGTTTGAAACTAATTTAAGTGACTTCGCCTCAAGTCAAGCCTTTTTTTCCCTCAAATTTAAATTTATTCTTGTATAAATTGATGTTAACCTAATAAATATGTTGAATTAATAAATTATTTAGCATATCTTTATAAATTAATGGATTGCATTTGTGTTTCTATGCGTTTCCATTGCGTTTCCGAAATGTTTCCGAAACGTTTCTATTTTTGAGTTGACCGAAACGGTACTTCGAAACAAAATTTTGATCCTTGTTATTGATAAGCTGTCAGGGCTTTATATCCGATCTCTGGTTATGTTTCTTATGATGATTTGTCTCCTACATTTCAAACTTATAGTGTGGCCTTAGTAGATACACCAGTTCCTGGCTCTATTTCAGAGACTGTGAGAACCTCAGTGAGTTCTTACTATGCAGACAAAGATGGATACTCTTCAGCATAATCATACATGGAATCTTGTTTCTTTACTTTCAGGGGTGAAGCCTATTAGCTGTCGCTGGGTTTACACCATAAAGTTTCTTGCGGATGGTACGATTGATCATCACACGGAAAGGCTTGAGACGAAGGGGTTTACTCAGGTTCCGGGTCATATTTTAGAGCTACCTTTGACCGCGTGGCAAAGTTGACTACTGTTAGATTGATTATTTCTCTGGCTGCCTCATATTCTTGACCCCTTCATCAGTTGGATGTGAAGAATGCATTTCTTTACGGTGATCTGAACGAAACTATTTATCTAGATGCACTACCAAGCTTTCGTGGTAAGGAAGAGTCAGCTGGGAAGGTCGACTGCGTAAGTCTCTTTATGGACTGAAATAGTCACCACGAGCCTAGTTCTCCCAATTTAGTGTAGTTATACGTTTAGGGTTCACCAGATGTCATTCAGATCAAACATACTTCATTTGACGAAATACTTCTAGGCAGTGTGTCATTCTCCTGGTATATGTGGATGATATTATTATTACTGTGGATGACGTTTCTAGGACTGCACAGGTCAAGATTGACCTTGGGAAGGCCTTCGATATGAAGGACCTTGGATTTCTGCGGTACTTTCTTGGGAATGAGGTTGCCCATAATAGCAGAGGTATTGTTCTCTCTCAGAGAAGTACGTTCTAGATCTTTTCTCGGACACTGAGATGCTGGGATGTAAACCGGCATCATCACCAATGATTCTAAACCTGAAGCTTCCTGCTGAAGGTGAGGAGTTAAGAGATCCTATTGTCTATCAGAGGTTGGTAGGTAGGCTTATCTACCTAGCCAACACTAGGCCAGACATCTCATTTGCTGTCAGACGAGTTAGTTAGTTCATATACAAGCCGTGTCAGTCTCATCTAGATGTAATATATCACATTCTTCGATACCTCAAGTCTTGTATTGGACTTGAGTTGTTCTATGCATCAGGATCTTAGACTAATTCTCTAAACTGTTATTCAGATTCAAATTATGGGGGAACTTGTGACGATCGATTTATTACTGGCGTCTGTACTTTTCGAGGGACTCATCTTATCTCTTGAAAAATCAAGAAGTAGGCAGTTGTCTCCCGATCGTCAGAAGCAGAGTATCGGGCACTGGCACCTGGCACGTGTAAAGTTATCTGGCTACAATTGATTCTTGGCGAGTTAGGATTTCTAGTGACTTTTTCATCCACATTGTAATGTGATAACCAATCTGCTATTCAACTTGCTTCTGACTCTGTACTACACGAGAGGACGAAGCATATAGTGATCGATGTTCACTTTCTTCAAGAGAAGGTTAGTTGTGGTATTGTCACCCCATTGTTTGTGAGGACCAGTGACCAGTTTGCAGATGTTTTCACCAAACCTACCTATCACTCTATCCATTTTTTGGGACTCTATTGTCAAGCTTGACTTAATTGACATTTTTGCGCCTAACTTAGGGGGAAGTGTTGGAGTTATAGTCTAGTATATTAGTTTTCCTATATTTCCTTTTTTGTCCTTATTATGACATTTATGTCTTACCTAGACCAAAGTAATATTCTAGTTACTTGTACCTTTATTTGGCTATATAAACAAGGCTCTGCACTCAGTTGGTACACCCCTTTACTCTCAAATAATTCTAGTCCACCCCCACCCAAAAAAAAATTGAAAAAAAAATAACATCGGTCTCCACAGAAGAGAAAGTTTGCACCTCCCTCTGTGCAGGTAGTGGAAATGGCACTCAAGTTCAGAGCTGGTAGCTAATTTGACTGATACTTTATCAAAAAAAAAATTAAAAAATCTTCAAGCCCTGCCATTCCGAAATACTATGCAAATGCCTTCCAACTGAAAACCACAAGAGACATGAAAATCCGTTTGAGATAAGTTATTTGTTGGCTAGGACTAGAAGATATTAGCTGTCAAGAGAATCTAAAGGGTTATAGTCAGTTCTCCCAGATTAGGGAATTATCTTAAATGGAAAATTTTCTCTTCCTGTCATATACCAAAAAAAAAACTTTAGTTTTGACGATTAAAGCGCATTTTTCTGCCTTTTAGAACCCTTAGTATGTCTCGCTATACTCAGATCAGTTGCTTTCAGGTGTGAATTTTCTACATGAAGGAGACTGAGATAATTATGGTGAATGTGTAATTTCTATGATGCTAAGTTTTGGGAATCAAACGATGCACATGTAGCATAAAGTTTGTCATTAGACAAATTGCATTGTTGAGTGTATGGAAATTCTTTAACCAAACCTGTACTTCATCATTTACACCCAACTCATTCACTTCTCCAGTCTTTGCAATAAAGTTGCTCTTTCAAAATTGTTCAAAAAAGATTGAAGAAATAAGCGAGTAAAATTGGTGCAGTGGTAAATACCTTAGACTCAGCCACATCCTCAAAGAATCTAACACCTGAAATCCAAAAGTCAGTAAAAGTTAGTTATGACCGTCAAAACAAAAATTTGCCAAGATGTTAGTTTTAATGGGAATAAGAAAGCATGCACTCTACTAATCTTCCTACCATGAAAGAAAATCAAGTCAAATGTTTCCCATAATTACAGGATGAGGAATAAGCCCTGGATTTTCATAATTACACCGACTTCCCCTTTGATTTGAATAATGATTTAAGACACCAATTGTATGGGTGATGCGAAGTGCAATTTTCTTACAAGCCTGCATAACAGAATTTTTTTTATAAGGACATAGTGTAAAAAAAATACCAGCTCAGCATGGCTGCATCACTTGTTAACAATGGCCAGAGACAAGCCCATGCTAATTAAAACTGTATTTTGGCCACAAACTAAACTTGGCAAATGCAACATCCAGTGCTATAAGCTCTCAATCGTATAGTATCGAACCGGCGCCTGCTTAGTACTATTCTCCTCTTGATTATTGAGTTTTACAGCTCTGGACAAAAAGTCAAAGATCCATTCTAATACTTGGCATTTATTCATCACTTGTTCAATTAGAATAATACGATGACTTGGCAAATATCGGAGAAAACAAAGGCAAAAGATTCCTGAACATGAGTTACCCAATAAATTACATTTCTACCTACCATTCGAAGCTATGCGAGATATCAAAATCTAGTGTAGATTGGATAAAATACTGACTGTAATCTCTATAATACAACCAAAATTGGTGTAGCCTAAAGTATCAGATTTCAAATACAATCCTCGATTTTTAATATCAAATTTCACAGTAGAATAATGCATTTACATTTCAAGAAGAGTTTTCAGTTCTAAGTTGATGATATTTGTATCATATAGCATGATTTAAAAAATATCCCACAAATCTTATATCCTAGATCACTTATATTGAATGCGAAGCTTCCTTCGACCCAAATAATAGTAATGAGTTCCCTGAATCTTTGTTTGATCCCATAATAAGCTCCAATAAATTAATTCCAAATTCAAATGTATTTAATTGTTTTCAACACTCAAGAAAAAATGAATGAAACTTATTTTGTAAGTCTAACTCCTTTCACAACCCCATCAACAAGTGTTTCCCACCAGCCACCCTTAAATCAAAGGCAACACCTAGATCACATGATTTGCTGGTACCCCTCAACGAACTCACATTCTGAACGCGAATTCACAAATTCAGAGCGCATTCGACATAAATTTGCAGATTCAATTATTTGCAGCTATTAAATCAGCAAATTAACATATTTGAATCCGTGTATTGGCATTTATAGAGCCAACTCCACATACACAAAAAACTTTAAACTAAATGGACTGTGGCCCAAGCAAATTAAATTTTAAACTAATTGGACCTTGACCCAAGCAAAGTCTGCTGATTATTTAACGTACTTGGGTCCCAAGTCTGATGCATAATTAATAGCCAACAACTGCTTACACCTTCACTATTTATAGGTGGTCTTCCCATTCAACTTCTTGATCAGTTACCGATGTGGGATTAGTACTGCTCTTCTAATTCCTTATTTTTTCTTTTTTTCTTTTTTTCTTTACCAATAATCACTAATTCTATCTCATTTTTTGACACTTTGACATTCTCTTTTCCAATATGTAGCAAAGTGTTGGATATACAAATTTGATGCTGACGCTCCTGCTCTCAGCTTTTTTGGACAATTTACGCTCTCGGTTTCACTCCAGCTCCATGTGATCTAGGGCAACAACATCTCATCAAAAGCTTCAAAATGGCATTTTTTTCATCCCTTCTACATGAAACTGAGAACAAGATCCTTTTTCAGATCACAGCAAACCTTTTTCACCATCATACTAATCCTTCAAAGATCTAATCCTAACATTCAGACTAAATTTGCTACTCTGGTCTGCTAGAACAAGGCAGTGTGATCAGAATAGTATCCCATAAGCATGCACAAGCATAGAAACATCCTGCATGGGTTCATACCATCTTGACAAAACCTAAAAAAAAGTGTCGGATATAAAACCATGGCCTAAGATTCCTTTTTGTACTATATATATCAACAAGATGTATTTTGTCATCCCAGTCATTCATTCACTGCAGCAACAACATGCACACGCACAAGAAAGCAAAAAATAGATTGAAGACTAGATTGCATAGAGATACCATTGATTGTACGGACGCATTTCCACTCATGTGCTTCGATTACATCTCCATCAGCTCCGTCGAAGTACGTATCTGATTTAGCAGTAGCGCCCAAGCTTGAGGATTGGCGCAACAGTGTCTCAGGACCTATATATGATAAAAGCCACCAACCAAAACAACAGGGAAAAAGACGAAAAAAACTGTATTCAGACCGCTGACTTATGCCATAACAAAGTGACAAACATAAAAAATTTCATATAGAATCGTATGTGAGAGATTGTAGAATAACAAAAGTCATAAAAGGAAACATACAGATAAGAATCAACGTGCAACATATAATAATAAAATTATTGAAATTCGGATAAAGTTATAGCCATGTGAAATGAAAAATATTGATGTCTGAATTAAGCAGTGAAAACTAGCCATTCTGCAAATTCAACTCGGTGAAAGCAGTTTGTTTGATGAAATATTACCCAAAATCTCCAAGTACATAGGACAAAGATGCTTGCATATTTGCATGATTACGAACATAGATTATTGTTATTGAGCTTTCTTTGTGCCCCATTTACCATGCCAAGCAAGAACCTCTCCTAAGCCATAGCATGAGGAAAATCCTCAAATTCCTTTAGAATTACTTATAAAAGAAGAAACCTATATGAAAGATCGTAGAGTAAAACAATGATAGATGAAACAATCAATGTGCCAACCATAGTACTGAAGACACACAGACCAACAAGCTCAAGCCAAGTTTGCTTTCAACAACCTTGTCCAAAGAAATACAGGCAACCATGTATGCCCATCTCCTCTTCACACTGTTGATGTAGCCACAGTGCCAAGTGATGAGAATTTTTTTTTTGGATAAGAAACATAATGAAAAGATGATGATATTAGGGGCAAGAAGTCCACCCAAAATAACAGAACAAACTAAGAAAATAACAAAGTTATCATCTAACCACATGCCGCAACCCAATCAATATTGCAAATCATCAAATTCTTTAGAGGCCACCGCCCAAAGGGAAGCCAAGAACCCTGCTTTGTCCCATAGAAACACCACGCATTCTTCCTTACCATCCAAGATTTTTCTATTCCTTTCCATCCATACCACTCAAAAAATTGCCAAAACCACATATTCCCAAAAACATCATGAAAATTCTCGATAAGGATAAACAATATCTTGGAATAGCCCAACTCAAACTATACTCTCCATAAGCTTTTATACCACAAACTCAACACCACCAAACAATATATAAAAAAGTGATCCACCTTTTCACAACTTATTCTACAAAATACACTTTTTTTTTTTTGATAGAAAACAAAAACTCTTGTATTAAAATAGAAAAAGTACATCAAGCAAAATTGGATAAGAAATCCAATCATAATCAAGGGAACACATCTTGAAAAGCAACAAACTATAAATGATGCTCTCCATCCCACTACTATAGCAAAAAGCAGAGTTCCTTTAAAAGCTTTTGTAATTGAAGCCCAAAATGATGCCAAAAAATTGAATATGCTTCCATAGTCCTTCCACACTATCATTCCAATCTTCAAAAATTATTATATTTCGTTCTTTCCCACTTAGTAGCAATGATAGCACAATTCCAAAGAGTAATCCATTTGTCCCCCAAACCCTTTAACATCTTCATTAACAAAGAAATAGATGTTGCAGGGACCACCCAACTTAAGCCCGCCTCTTGGTACAACCGATACCACAAATTCAAAGCAACAACACAATATAAAAATAAATTATCAACACCCACCATCACCTTTACACATCACGCACCTCTGAGGAGAAACTAGTGTAATGTCTCTTTTTCTAAAGCATGTCATTAGTATTAATCTTCCCACGTGCAACTGTCCAAAGGAAAACTTGCACCTTGAAAAGTACTTTTACTTTCCATATCATCAAAGCAGAAACAAAAGAAGGATAAGAATTTTCTCCAATCAAAGAATCCAACAATCATTTACATAAAAAGACTCTCGATGATTCCAACATCCACCCACTCTCTTTTATCATCCAACTCAATGTTCAAACCAATGTTGTTCAGAATATTGAGAAATGATATCAAATCAATGGTATCTCTATCATCTAAATTCCTACGAAAACCAAAATCTCACGAATATGGAAAATGATATGAACGAATCATAGACACAATGAAAGAATTATGAGACCGAGATAAATGACAGAGACGAGGAAACAAATAAGAAAGACTATTTTCACCTACCCAAACATCCTCCCAAAAACGAATTCTCTCCACATTATCCTCTACTAGTCTTACTTCTTGAAAAAAACTCGTCAAACCCTGAGAAATAAACTTCCAAGGGTATCAGAAATTGACTTTTTCAACCCTATTAGTGTCTCATCCATTAAAATATATCTGCTTTTGATAACTAAATGTTGTAAAGAATTTGTTTCAAAGAAAAACCTCCAAAGTCACTTTCCTATCAAAGCAATATTTCTTGCCTTCAAATTTCCAATTGAAAGACCTCCTTTATCCTTAGGTCTAGACACCCCCTCCAACTATTCAAATGATCATTTCTCCCTTCCCCACTACATTCTGAAAAACAATCTCTCATTATTTTTTCAATTCTCACATAAACTATAAATTAAATAAACATAAAAAGTATGTGGAAATACTAGTTAAAACTAACTGAACAACAGTTAGCCTTTCCCCCTTGGATATGTAAGCTTTATTCCATCCATCTAACATTTTTTCAACTTTTTCCACTATCAAATCCCAAAAAGATAACGAAAGCGGATCCCCCCCCCCACCAAACAATATTGTACACATTACACTTCAATGGGGGGAAAGATAAGTAGTCACATCTCCTTTGCAACAAATTAATAGTATTAATCTCACTATAAGCAACAGTCCAAGAGAAAACCTACACCTTAACTGACACTTTTGGCTTCCAAATTATCACAAGGGGTCCAAAAGTGGAAGAATAAAAATCACCAATCAAAACATGAAAATAAGATTTACAAGAAAAGACGTCAAGTGATAGTAATAAGTAGTCTCATCTCCTTTGCAACAAATTAATACTATTAATCTCACTATAAGCAACAGTCCAAGCGAAAACCTACACCTTCTGACACTTTAGACTTCCAAATCATCAGAAGGGGTCCAAAAGTTGAAGAATAAAAATCACTAATCAAAACATGAAAATAAGATTTACAAGAAAAGACGCCAAGTGATGGTACTAGTCTATGCCAAGTATAAAGGGGGATAACTTATCAATGCGGGTAAGATGAGAAACTTTTAACGTGATGGTGCACTTTGAAGGGGGATAACTTCCCAATGAGTTCTTACCACAAGCTAGAACCGAAGAAGATCGAGACTTGCACTATCTTGAAGAAGATCAGGGATAATGCTTTTGTGATTGAGATGACTGATAGTCTTTAGACCTCACCAGCTTTTATGTATCTGATATGTATGGAATACACTAGAAATATTTGTGAGTTAATGGGATACAAACTAAGTGTAAAGCCCTGTATATATAACTAATGAAAGTTTACAATAAGGATAAAAAGGTAAAACAAAATAAACCCTAATAAATTAGGTTTTTATATCTCTAACACTCCCTCTCAAGCTAGGTGCAAAAATGTCAACTAAGCCAAGCTTGACAACGGAGTCCCGAAGAATAGATAGAGTGACAGGTTTGGTGAAAATATCCGCAACCTGATGACTAATCCCCACAAACGATGGAGTGATAATACCACTGCTAACCTTCTCCCGAAGGAAGTGAACATCGATATCTATATGCTTCGTCCTCTCGTGTAATAAAAAGTCAGAAACGAGCTGAATAACATATCGATTATCACAATATAATGTAGATGAAAAAGTCACTGAAAATCCCAACTCGCCAAGAATCGATCGTAGCCAGATAATCTCACATGTGCCAAGTGTTAGTGCCCGAAACTCAGCCTCTGCTGACGAGCGAGAGACAACTGACTGTTTCTTGCTCTTCCAAGAGATAAGATGAGTCCCTCAAAAAGCACAGAAGCCCATAGTAGATTGACCATCACATGCTCCTCTATAATCTGAATCTAAATAACAGGCTAGAGAACCAGTCTGAGATCCTGATGCATAGAACAACCTAAGTCCAGGACAAGACTTGAAGTACCGAAGAATATGATAAACTACATCAAGATGAGGCTGACATGGTTTGTGCATGAACTGACTAACTCGACTGACAGCAAATGAAATGTCTGGCCTAGTGTTAGCTAAATAGATAAGTCTACCTACCAACCTCTGATAGACAGTCAGATCTCTCAACTTCAGCAGTAAGTTTCAGGTTTGGAATCATAGGTGATGATGTCAGTATGCATCCCAGCATCCCAGTGTCTAAGAGAAGATCCAGAACATACTTTCTCTAAGAAAGAACAATACCCTTGCTGCTACGGGTAACCTCAATCCCAAGAAAATATCGCAGAAATTCAAGATCCTTCACATCGAAGGCCTTCCCAAGGTCTACCTTGACCTGCACAGTCCAAAAAATATCATTTTCAGTAATAATAATATCATCAACATATACCAAAATGATAACACACTGTCCAAAAATATTCCGTCGAATGAAGCAGGTATGATCAGAATGACATCTGGTGAACCCTAAACGTACAACTACATCACTAAAGCGAGAGAACCAGGCTTGTGGTGACTGTTTCAGTCCATAAAGAGACTTCCACAGTCAACATACCTTTCCAGCGTACTCCCCCTCACCACGAAAGTCTGGTGGTGCATCCATATAAATAATCTCGTCCAGATCACCGTGAAAAAATGTATTCTTCCCATCTAACTGATGAAAAGGCCAAGAGTACTCTGTAGCTAGAGAAATAATCAATCGAATAGTAGTCAATTTTACCACGGGGGCAAAGATAGCACTAAAATCACAATCTGATACCTGAGTAAAGTCCTTCGCCACAAGTCTAATCTTGTGACGATCAATAATACCATCTGCAAGAAACTTCAGGGTGTAAACTCAGCGACAGCCAACAGGCTTCACCCCTGAAGGTAAAGACACAAGATTCCACGTATGATTATGCTGAAAAGCGTCTATCTATGTCTGTAGGGCAAGAACCCACTGGGGCTCTCGCATAGCTTTTGAAACAGGGCGAGGAACTGGCGTATCTGATAAAGCCATACTATAAGCTCGAAATGTAGGAGAAAGATCACCATAAGAAACATAGGCAGAGATCAGATATAAAGTCCTGGCGGTCCAACCATAACGGACAACTGGATGGCGATCACGCTGCGGATAACGATACCCTAAATCATCATCCTCCACTGACAATGTCTCATCAAGGAAAGTAACTGGCTCAGTACGTGAAATCTCATCAATACTAACAACAGGTGCATCAATATGCTCAACTAACTAAAAAGTATTATCTGCATCGTCTGAGGTAGAGGGGACATCAACAGGGGGATGAGAACGAGGGCGACAAACATAAACCTGCAAAGGAAGAAAGACTGGTGACTCTGTACTGACAGGGACGAATGGCTCTAGTGGAGGAGAGACTGATGACTCTATAGTGATAATGACCAATGGCTTTGACTCCTGTGATAACAAAAAATCAAAGGGAGTATCATCAACTGGAGGGGCAGACACAGGAGTAGAAGAAAAATAAGAAATGTGCTCAAGAAATATAACATCTAGACTATGATACATACAGCGTCTGATAGGATTATAACACCGATACCCTTTAGACTGATGACAATAGCCCACAAAGACACAACGAATCACTTTATCATCAAGCTTATGATAAGTAGGAAACCGATCCTGAAGAAAACATGTGCAGCCAAAAACACGAGGGGGACCAAAAAAAGTGTCCGCTCAGGGAATAAGACTTGAAAGGGAGTCTTATGCTAAAGAACACGACTTGGTGTATGATTACATAGAAAGGTAGCAGTCAAAACAACAAAATGCCAATAAGATTTTGGTAACGCATACCGCTAAGCATACAACGTATCATCCCTATTAGACTCCTATTTTTTCTTTCAGTAACTCCATTTTACTCAGGAGTATATGGACAAGTGAACTGCTGAAGGATACCCTGAGAAGGAAGGTGAGACACTAAGGCATCCGACACATATTCTTTGGCATTACCCGAACGAAGAGCACGAACAATGACATCAAATTGTGTCTTAATCATCTAGAAAAACTGAATAATAACAGGGATTACATCAGACTTCCTATGCCAAAAGGTAGACCCAAGTACAACAGGTATGGTCATCTATAAATGTCACATAGTATCGGACACCTGATAGAGCAGTAATAGGAGAGGGTCCCTAAATATCAGAGTGTATTAGGTCAAATGGTTTGGGTGACTGGTGCATGCGAGGAATATAACTGGTCCGAACATGTTTCGATAGAAAACATATAACACACCCAAATTTACCACCAATACAAGCATTGCTCAAAACAAGAAATAACATACATAAATATTTAAAATTTGTATGCCTAAAACGGTCATGACACAACTGAACAATTTGTGATAAAAAATCATAACGACAAGTACTAGGCAAAATACTAGCATGTAAGCTAGGAACGGAAAAAAACAAAGTAGGTACAGGTGAGGGAGTGGAGGAACTGGTAAAACTGGAGGTGGATCACCTAGATAATACAATTCATCTCTCTCATATCCCCTGATAATAATCCTCTTGGTACTCAGGTCCTGCAAATAATACGAATCAGATAAAAATACAAGTACACAGTGAAAATCTCTGGGTAACTGATGTACGAATAATAGATTCATAGTCAGTTTTGGCGCATGAAAAATCAAATGTAATGTAAAGCCATCTGGGAGGCAGACTATACCCTTACTAACAATAAAGGCATATGTCTCATCTACTAGCTGAACTTGTGTATGTAATTGCTCGTCAAAAGTGGTGAAGTGATGGACCTCACCTGTCATATGACCATTCGCACCCGAGTCTAACATCCAAAAGGGAGACGAATTAGCGCAAGCATGAAAGGCACGAGGTATGCCTGTAGTGATGGCAGTAGCAATAGTCGGACCCTAAAAAGTCAAGGCGGACATAAGTATATCCAATCGAAAAATGATAGCATCTATATCACTCTGCCAAGGAGAAACTGCAACAGGAACAGCAGCAGTAGGTGGTGGTACCTCAACAATAGCAGCAGTACGACTGCGAGGAGGCGGCTTAAGCTCTGGATTGAGCTTCCAGCAAGTAGCCCTAAGATAGCCTGGTCGGCCACAATAATTACACTGACGAGAATCTACATGTCTATGCTGATATGAGGTAACCTGACGGCGTTGGGTCGAGTGCTGTCGACCCCTATACCCGGTAGAAGTACTAACAAATGTCCCAATGGTAGGGATCTCAACTCCCTCAGTAGTGGTCATATCATCAACAATACTAGGACAACCGTGACAGAAAAACAACTCTAAGATAAATAGAAGGACAAAATAAGAGAACAATATACCACCAATCGAATTGTAGCGACAGATAAAGAAGGTCCAGAAAGCACCCAAATAATCAGGTCACGGTGTCCAAAAATTCAATAAAAATAAATAAGTGATCTACTGCATCAAAAGCAGATCACCGAAGAAGAGGATTCTCGCTCACCTAAAAAAAGTCTTAAATACTGCAACTTGGTAGCACTGTGCCGAAGTGTGTGAAGGACGAAGCTACAACGAAAAAGTGACCCGACAGTGGACTCGACAGTGACCCAGGTTGGGCAGTGGGCAGTGGGCCGCTGGGGCAGTGGATAGTGGGTAGTGGGCCGCTGGGTTGGGTCGAATAATGGATTGCTGGGCTGGTCTGGTCTGGGTTGATTTAATATTTTGATCAAAGGGCTGATCAGTGCTTTATGGTTTGGCAGATTGGTTCAGTTTGTGGAATAGAGGCAGTCGGTGCTTTATAGAGGCGGTCGAAGTCGGGCTTTGATGTTTCGGTGTTATGGTGTTCGAATAATGGCTGTCGATTTTAATGGAGGCAGTCGGTGGATTTTCTTTTCGGTTGGGCAATTGGTTTGTTGTTCTTTGCTGGGTTGTCGCTAGTGCAGTCTAATTTCGCAAGTTTTGTAGTCAGTCAGTGGAGATGGGCTAAACAGTAGGGCAGTCAGTGGATTCACGACAGTTTGTTGGAGTTTTGGTATATGTTTGGACTGATTTGACAAACTGGTTTGGCTGTGACTGTGTTATGGGTCTGTGGTGGTGACTAGGCAGTTTATTGGGGAACTGTTGCAAGGAACCAGCTATCGGAGTTGGGTGAGCAGCAGCTGGTTTGTTTTGCTGGTCGTGATGATTGGCGGAGGCTAGGGTTAGAGTTAGGGTTAGTGGCTCTGATACCAACTGGAAACATTTGTGAGTAAATGGGATACAAACTAAATATAAAGCCCCCCTATATATAACTAATAAAAGTTTACAATAAGGATAAAAAGGTAAAACAAAATAAACCCTAATAAACTAGGTTTTTATATCTCCAACAAATACTAGCAACACAATTCAGATGTAGAAGTTCCTAACGAATCTGAAAGAAATTAAGAAGCTCCACAGTCCTCGAAAGAAGAGATAGATGAGATCTTAGATGTGCAGAAGGTAAAGACAAAAGGTGCATTTACCATAAGTTCCTTTAGGAATGGGTAGGCCACCAGCACACATAGATGTTCAGCTAAAGAAGCTGAATTGAAGCAACTAATAAAAGAAACGAGGAGACTGGAAATTGAAAAGTTTGATCAGACATGCCTTTCCCCTCACTAGAAGAATTGCAGGAGCATACTAAAAACTAGCAATAAAATATTCATAATATCCGGGCATGTTTCTTTCAGGATGATGATCAATTTTGTCTTTGTCCTCAGTGGCATATTGATCAGATATACAGATTGTGAGATAGCTGCTCTATTTATAATGATAATAGCCAAGCAAAAACTACCTTTTATGTTGGGCAAGTCAGTATTTCTATCTCCTAAATCTTCTAAACTGTCTAAGCATCCTATACATACATCTGTAAGGGGTGAGTGATTGAGCCGCCATCTCTATATGATCAATACAGAAAAGGAATTTGAATGTAGAAGTAACCAATTTGAGATCCTTCACCATATCCCGAAGTTTCAGCTTCCCTACGAGCACAAAGAAGACTAACGCCAATAAATGGTGGGGGGGGGGGCACCCCCTTTACCAAGTTTTTAAGAGATCCTTCGAATAATATAGTATGTGTTTTGTGACTGGTATGATTACATAGAGGTCCTCCCCCCCCAAAAAAAAAAAAAAAATTTCTTCACTTTCACAGCTGCCCCTCCAGTTGTCCCAAGGATTTGACCCCACACCTAATTCCTGGATCCATCCTGACCGATGGTGTTGCTTTGGGCGCAATTTGCAAGCTCGGTGAACTTCAAATTTGGGCGACCTCCAGCACTTACATTGAGACAATTATCATGATTTCGTTGTGAGGCTTGAATTATACTTGGATCAAATCTTAATATTGATTGTACCTTCTTACTCATGCTACTTTTTAATTCAGTTTCTATAATGTCAGGGATGATTCCACTGAACATACCAATCATCAATATAGACTTTAACATGCAAAAAAATGCAATATGGAATCCAATAATGAGCCAATGGCAAAAGCATCAAACCATGTCCATAACACCTCACCTTGTCCTATTCTTATTAGCTTCTTCAGACCATGTGCATATCGCCGTACCCTAGGTCGATGTCCTTCAAGATCAATCCTTCCATACAGTAAAGAGGTTTTAGACTAGAGAATCATTGATATAAATATGATATATAAAGAAATTATGCAGGACATTAAATTGATCAAATAAACAGGAACTAATGCATCTGTCTTGACCCTTAATCATAGAAAACCCATACAAGTAGGCTAGAAAGTACATCCAGAGGTAATGTGCATTAAGGAGCTTGAATGACTGGGTCAAACATCATATGAAACCAATTGAAAAAACTATCACTACTGAAAACCAGTTCAAATCAAAACTTCATTTTCGACTTGGTGTTTTCTTTCATGCTTACACCCTTTTTCTTTATCCACAAACATCTGTAAAAAAATTCCAAAAAATTAACAAATTATACAAGCATGGCTTCTATAAAGAGAGTTTAATCTTACTCTGTCTCCTTGTTCAGCTTATTTCTGGTGCTACCACCCCTTAAAAGCTCAAACTCAGCCTGGTGATAGAACAGTAGACAGTGAGACTCTGAGATGTACAAAACCAAATAAATTTCCAGATTAACTTGTGTCATCCACTGATACCCAGTACATGATGTCTTGATAATTGAAAAACAGACTGCATTCTTGCACCACAAGCATAAAAAAAACACATATAACAAAGAAAGTGAACTTATGTTTAAACATTAGATAGTTTTCAAAGTAAAACGACTTAATTCAACATCGGTTGCAGGCAACATTGATCATGGAAACTCTCCAACATTCTGGCAAAAAAAATCACTATACTCATCAACACTTCTGTCAGTTTTCTACTACCTGTTGCTTCGCATGATCAAATGCTTCCATCCATTTTCGGGCTTCTCCAGCTTTAGCACAAGCAATCTTGCAGCAATACAATAATCAATTAGAATGCCAGATTCACAAAAGCTGTATCTTTTCTCGGGAAGAAAAAACAATATTCAACCCAACTGATCACACATAAAAAAATGAAAACATAGGAAAGGCCAAAAAAGGGAATCATTCAATACATATAGTGCTATCCCAAGCAGTCAAATCCACTTAATATGTTTTACAAAAACCGCAGGGAAGTGAGAAACAGAAAAACTTAGTCTCAATATTAATTAGGCATCTTGTTCTGGAAAATTAAAGGACTTCCCTACATATACACACACGTTTCTGTATGCATTATCACTTGCAAAGATCACCTACTCATACCGGTTTGTTCTTCTGAGTCACCTGTGGCAACTGGCAGTCTTCTTCTGTTGGCCATTGTAAATTGACTACTCAAACTACCACGTAAACTAGCATAGATATAAGTTGCACAATGCCTTTCATTTCAGTTAATTAGGCTTAGTGTAATGACAAACAGGAAGTTTATCAGCAAACACCAGTTGACTGCAATTGTTATCTCAAAAAATTTAACAAAGTGACATGCACAGTGACAAATAATCTAGCAATCAATCTACCAAAAGCACAAAATGGGTTTTGGCTTGCATGTTTAGAAGAAGCATAATTTATTTAGAAAATGGGGTACAAAACACACTAGACAAGTAGGCACTCCTGAAATAAAGAAAACATACATCTTCATATTCTAGGAAAATTTAGCAGAACAAAAATTGAAAGGCAAATGAACAAAACTATTACTTACTTCTCCCTTTTTCGTCTCATCCAACCGATTGTAAAACCTTAGAACATAAAGATCCTAGGAAAGATGACAAAAAGTTGATGACAGAAGTCAGCTTTCATTATCCTCTTAAGTTGCACAGATACACAAGAGCCAAAGGTCACTCACTAGAGGTTGAGATCAACTTTAAACAATGTGCAAAATAAACCGATATGTAACATAAATAGCATAAAAGATAGAAATTAAGGTCAAATTAGTTATCTAGGACAAGAGAATTGAAATATAGAATTTCAATGGCCTTACACCGTGATTAAAATTCCGACGTCCTAACTCCTCCACCATAAGTGTGTGCCCAATGACACCCCTCCTGATTGGTTTCTGCAAAAAGTGCATGGTGAAGTAAACCACATTTGATAATGTGTGGCTTATTGGTATGAACAAAAAATACTTGCATCTATGCATGATCCATGGTCAAAAACCATCTTATCTCCCTAAGTAATAGAGCAAACACTACCTGCTGCTTGAAGAAAGATAAAATAGTAAAAGGGAGTATGCAGTGAAGGTTCCCAACACAGTACACTATAAATCATAATAAAGGCATTTTGATTGTACACTCCTTCAGATTTATAGTTGCATTAGTTATAACTTCCTTGTTCGTGAACAAAGTGGATTCCAAATTGTCTTTCATTCCAAGGCCACGGCAGGTAACAAACAGTTGCCATAACTATATCATGCAGGTGAGACCCTCAAACACATCAGTAAGAATTTTTAGAGAGGCAAAAAATTGGAAGCATATATAGAAATTGCACATAGTATACACTCCTCAATACAGTATATGAGCTTTTAGACACCTAAACTCAACAGTTAGTTACAAATACTGCACTAGTGCACTCTTCTTTCTTTTTGCCCTCGTATTTGTGGCAGTGTCCCCACCTAAGTCACCACATGTTAAGCATCCTAATCGCGAGCTTGTATGAATTGTCAACTCATGTGAGAGCACTGCTAGAGATCCCCAAATAACATCCCAAACGCATAGGGACCCTCAAATTAACAGGTCCAGTTATATTTTTCTAACCGAACCCACTGATCCAGCGACCTTTTTGAGATACAAATTTTGGGATCCCATTTCGGAAATACTTCCAAAACCGTTTCCTTTTCAGCTATTACTTTTACCTATGACGTTTTGGGCAACCAATTCCACTACTAGAAACAGCCGCATTAACTAACGCACTGTTTCTGTGAGGTCGTAGGAATTGAAGTCCCCACAAACAAACCCATTGCGTAATTACATAATCACATAATCCTTCATTGTCTTCAAGTTTCTTTCCTAATACATTCTGGGCAACCAAATTGATGATACTAAATGAAACAGTTAACTCAACAAAACCCATTATCTACATATAAAATCTTGTGTTTGATCTTATCTATAGCAATTTAAGCCTCACATGAACTCACCCCTTCTATATAAATGTACATATATATAACTCTTCCTTGTTCTAGCAATTTCTGGGCAACCAAACAAAAGGTGAGATACTTACAATGCCAGGACTCGCCTGAGGGTCCCTCTTGTACATAGCAACGTATTTGCCTCTGATAATTAGAAAGCGAAGGTGACAATACTCGTGGCCAATTGAATTGACACCCAGATGATAAACCCATCCCGAGTACTCGAACAAAACCACCACCACCACCACCACTTCTATCTTCCGCTCCGCTCTCCGAACCTCCACTCTCCGACGACCCTCCACTCTCCGACGACCCTCCTCCGTTCCCCACTTTCTTGAAAACGGTGGAAGCCATGTCTTCCTTCTAATTCTTTGGTTGGCACTTTCTCTCTCTAAAAAATGGGTGTGTGAGATCTGTGTGCGAGAGAGAGAGCCCCGGGGTGGGGGTGGTGGGGGGGGGGGGGTTGAGTAATGTGAGTTGTCCCAGGACAACGAAGCAGGAGAGAGAGAGAGAGAGAGAGAGAGAGAGAGAGAGAGAGTTATGGTTAATGTTGGAAGGCAACAGTACAGCCTTTTCCCACCCCAAATAAAGAAGCGTTCTCTCTTATGTTTATGTCCCCTTGTGTCTCATTTGACCTTTATTACTTTGACTCCAAACAACCACGTTTCAGGTCTGTTGGACGTTTTTGATCGCTACTTTGTCGGCAAAGTACTTTTTTTTTTTTATTCAATCGACAAAGGACTTGCGTCCTCGATTTCAATTTATTGTCGATGTCTTTGATCAAAAAAAATATATACATATTTATTGCCAATGTCTCAATTTGAATTTTCTAAAAATTTTAAATTTATTTGACACACAAATTACATATAAAAAAGAATAATTTTATTTAGACTTAAAAATTTGATTTAATTTATCGACATAATGATGTGACTTTAATTGAACTATTGGATTAATACCAAGTTTTAATATTTAATGAAGTCCACAATTAATACAAATGTCATAATAAATTAGATTAATAAATTAAGTCACAATACTATAAAAAATTACAAACCATTAGAACCCACCATGATTTTATTTATTTTAATTTTTTACTTCTCCGTTACGAATCTATTTGATGGTATAGATTTTAGTTTTCTATCATCATTTTCGGTGGAAACTCAAACTTTTATTTAAATTCTTGTTAAAAAATGGTAAAAAATTTGATTTAGTATAGACCACTCTAATGAAAAAATTCAAATTTAAGGAGGACAAACTTAAATTTAAATGATGGCAAAATATAACTATTGAATCTTTAAAGGAGGATGAAATCTCACCAAAGATTTAGATATAAATTTGAGTAAAAAAAATGAGTCTCCCTTAATTTGATATAAATTTGGGTGAATTGTAGAGCATTTTTAGAAGTTTTTTTACCCAAATTTAAATTTGGATAAAAACAACGCTTAAAAATCTTCTCTAGTGCTATACTCATACCAAATCAACGAAATTTAAAAAAAATTTATTCAAATTAAGGGAAATTCATTCTTTTACTCAAATTATCAATGGTTAAATTTTATTTTCCGTTAAAAAATAGTCATATTTTATCCTCTTTTAAATTTGGAATTGTGCTCATTTAAATTTAAGTTTGTCTTCATTTGAATTTGAGTTTCTTCATTGGAGAGGTTTATACCAAATCAAGTTTTTTACCATGCTTTCTTCCTTTTTACTCATATTTGGCATCTTTAACATTGACTTAAATTTTTATTCAAATTTGATTCAATATTTAACTAAAAAACTTAATTTCATACAAGACACTCTGTTGAAAAAATTAAAATTTAAAGTAGACCAAATCTAAATTTAAATGAGTCAAACTCAAATGAGGATTTAGATCTTTAAGGATAATAAAATTTAACTATTTGTGATTTGAATAAATGTTTGAGTTTCTCTTAATTTTGGTAAAATTTTAAGTCTCTTTTGATTTAGCATGAGTTTGGATATAGAATTAGAGAAGGTGAGTAAACAGGATTTATTGAACTCATAATTCATTAGATACTTTTTATGAATGTCAACTAAGTATCGTAAGTAAATTGCTCCGGGTTGTTCAATCATTTGATAACCAAAGTCATTCTTTGATAAATGATCACTATAAGTCAGACTCAATAGAATTTGATTAATCCTTTTTTCTGTCGTTAAGGTGGAGAACTGAACCAAGAATTCTCTTTCTTCATCATCAATCGAATCACTGTTCGCGACCCAGGATTCTATTTTATCATCAATCCAATCCCCGTTTACGTTTTTTCTTTTTCTTATCAATGAATAGATCTCTTTACTTGTATGACTTAGATGTCTTGTATTTGGCTTTATATAATACATTGATCTAAGTTAAATCATTTTATATAACTTATATAATTATTCCCATAAAACTATTCTATTTCATTCTCCTTAGTTTTAGCACAATTATTGATAATTTTCTCAAAATAACAAGGTCGGGTAGCATGGGCAAAGCCACATGGGGACCAGGGTGGACGCTTTGCCCCTTCACTTTTGGACCACTTTAGATGAGTACTCATAAACTTATTTTAAATATTATATCTGTCCCCCTAAAATTTTTAAAATTTTAATAATGGTTCTAGTCTTTTTTTTTTAATAAATTATTGGTTCACTAACCCTCTGAGATAAATATGTTAGTTTTGCATTGAGTCAATCAGATGTAATTATTTTAATCTATTTGTATATTGACGAAAATACAAAATTTCTCTTTATGTAACATAATGTTCATTATTTGTTAAGAATAATTTTTAGTTTTTATTTACCATTTCTTTTGTAATAGTAGTCTATAACCTAATAAAATACGATTGTATACAAAAGACAAAAAATTATAACCCAAAAATATTTCAAGCTATTTCGAATAATAAATTTCTCTATATGATCGATAATGATCTCAATTAAATTTTGCAACTAAATAAAGAATAATTTTATTACAGACTTTGTGATTGTGCTCATTGATAGAAAATTAGTGAATTCATATACAAAATTTTAGAGATTTTAAAAAATTATATTATAATTAGGTTAAAATGTACTAAAAAAATTATTTTGTGACTTTTTGTTAGAATTTTGTTTATGCTAAATAAAAATTAAATTTACTATTTCACAATAATTTTATCTTAATTTTTACCTTTTGGTCATTCTTAAACTGATTTTTTTTGTATTAATTTTGGCTAAATAATTTTTTATATTAATTATATTTTGCTCTCTTTCATAGATATTTTTGACTCTGCACTTGTGGGGATGGGGGTAGGGGTAGTTAGAGACAAAATGTATATATGATACTCTTTGATATGAGGGTAATTCAACGAGCTCAGCATTAGAGATGGCAAAGAATACTTGGCATAATCGAGTCTAAAGTTTGAAAAAAAGAAAAGAAATTAACGAAAAGCTGAAAATGAACGAGCTCCCCCCTCCCCCACCTCCTTTTTTTTTTTTTTTAATGAACAGAGCTTAGAACCAACCTCAAAGTAAGATTTTCATTAAAGCCTAGAACCATTACAAATGTCAGTTAAAGAAAGAAGTTTGAAAGTTTATTGCATGACCAATTCTTACAAGTCAGGTGGCACTTGCCACTCTCCATTAACAGGTTACACAACTAATACCCATAAACCATACAGACAAAAGTTAGTATCGCATCAACCTTATCAATCTCTTTTACACGCTAAGAAAAGGCTTCGCCAAACAATTAGTATTTTGATATAATTGCACAAAGTATGCATTCGAGGGAATTGAAATCAATTGACAAATCATAATACAAGTTGATTGCTGCCCACTAGGTTTAACCGAGTCATAGTTGATTGAGCCAACCATGATTGATTTCTCTAATGTGTCATAATCATGATAGAAGTGCGTAAATAGTATGCTAGTTGCTGTGTAATGCAGGAAAAGAAAGAAAGCAAGCAAGCAACCAAGAAAATGAAATGTTACACTTGGAAACATATGATGCTGTGCATAGCATAAGGACAGTTGGGAATTATGCTCAACCAACTTGGTCCACCACCCAATCTACTCTACCTACCCATTTATTGCTGCTTCATATGATTCTTTGTAATTATATTACAATATCTCCTTATCATTTTTTAGATCAAATGTCGACTAGGGCCCAACTGATAAGACTCCATCAATTAACACCAAAACCCAATTTAAAAATTCTGATATGAGTGTCTGACAAATTCATTGACATAGAATTCGTTGACATAGTCTTATCCGATCAGAAATCTACACGGAAAACTGACTTCATTCAAATAAATCAATTAACCTAAATTTTTGACAAATTGCAGTGTAATATCGACTTAATTTCATATATTTGTAAACCAGTATATAGATAAGATCATGTGACTTGGACAAAAAATTGACATATATTCAAATCCGATTGCATAAATTATCACACTACATTTTTGAATTCTGATGAAAATTCAGACAATTGGCAGGCCAGCTCTTGACATACAAAACTAATGGAGTCTTTGAAATTCTAATTTTACTCTCAAGCATTTATCAACTTTTCAATTTCACTGTGTAGGCACATTTTATACCCTCCCTCCTCCCTCCCCTCCTCCCTCATAGTAATCCCCTTTTTTTACTTCTTTAGAGACAGAGACAGAGACAGATAGACATACAGACACACACACACATATACATGCATACATATACTGACAGCATCAGCTAGCTCATAACCAAACTAGAATTAAACATCACCAGTAAGATACATCAAAAATTCAAATTTACCACAAGACAAGTTTTAGAATGCCTGGGAAAAATCCTGAGCCTGGGAAATGGTGATAGGTGCCAGTGCAAACAGCCAACTCAACTAATATGGCAGCCAGATGCATCAGTCTTCAGTCTTCTTTCCTCTCCTCATGGTTGACGTCATATTCATCGTCATCGTCATCATCCTCATCAACATCCTCATCTTCATACAAGTTGCTTCGAAACTTGCTCAGCTCACCTTTTCCATCGTCTTCACCAAAAAACTCTAACCCATACTTGATGTCTCGGTGTTTAACCAAAAGCCAGCGCAGCAATCGGTCTTCCTTGTTGAGGTAATGCAGCTCTTTGTTGAAATTGGGTGGTGTCATCATTGTCATCTGCATCAATTGGCCCTGCAGAACATGCAATTTATTATTAGCCCAGCAAAGCAAAACGTAATTTCCTTGGCTTTGTTGAAAAAAAGAAAACGGTCTAGCAAGCTTCAGAAAACATTGGAGAATAGCATGGGAGTCACAAAAATTCGTGCCTAAAAATTGCTCTAATTTTACCCTTTACATTGTATAACACGGGCAAGGGGTTTATGAATCTAAAAACCAATAAAGAAGAAATATAAACATCTTTTGGTTAACCTAATCTCCTCCATTCCTCTGGATCAACAAGGAATGAGGAGGCAAATTATTGTGAGCACATGTCCATAAGAACAGTTTTTTTTGGTATGTAACCATAAGAACAGTTTCTACAAGTCAAACTCTAAAAATCTTCAATAATTTGAGCACCTAAAAATTCTGTCTAAGTCCATAAGAAGCATTTCCAAATGTTAACGATTAAAGGAGGCAAATTATTGTGAGCACATGTCCATAAGAACAGTTTTTTTTGGTATGTATCCATAAGAACAGTTTCAACAAGTCAAACTCTAAAAATCTTCAATAATTTGAGCACCTAAAAATTCTGTCTAAGTCCATAAGAAGCATTTCCAAATGTTAACGATTAAAGGAGGCAAATTATTGTGAGCACATGTCCATAAGAACAGTTTTTTTTGGTATGTAACCATAAGAACAGTTTCAACAAGTCAAACTCTAAAAATTTTCAATAATTTGAGCACCTAAAAATTCTGTCATCTTAACATCCTCAAAACCAAAAAAAAAATGATAGAGATGAAACATATAATAAAGTAACAGATGGGTTTCCTTCAAAACTTAAACTCCCTAAAAGATATACAACTCAAAATCTCCATCAAAACTCCATCACATTTCTAAACAGAAAAACCTTATACTTGATGCGAGAATAAACATCTGCTATGTTTTTAAAACAGCAAATAAACTCTCCACCCCACGAAGTAGCCACTAATATATAGGACAAGGGACTCGATGAAAGAGCACACAAGCAAACTTTATCTGGCAATGGTTTATGTCTCAGTACAGTTAGACAACCTGAGAACAGGAGTCATCGTCCTGAAATTCTATGGCACTGGGCACACAGCATATACCTTCTCGAAAGCAGGAAGAACAGAGAATCAGCATGCCATCAGCTAGCCCTGGTTACCTTTTTTTTTTTTTTTGGTGTCACCAATGAAAGGAGACTTTACCGAAAGATTATGTCCCTAAGACCTTACTCTACTCACATAAAACATGAAGATGCATGAAACAAATCCAGTCTACCTAGAGATACCAACCAACATTAAACGTCCATGCAAGATTTTTGTTACCTGTTAAGCTGCTTAACGTCGTCCCTCTCATTCATTTGAAACCAAATGCTTATAGCTATTATTTAGCCATTCGCAGAGCTGGTTTGCAATTTCTAGTTTGTATAGCACACTATGCTGTTAAACCTCATATAACTTATTCCATCCAGCTCCAGTATATAGCAAAGTAAATGATAATGAGACTCCTAAGTTCTGTCATTAACTATACAAATCAATAATGGGTGGCGCTATTGTCCTCCATAAACTGCCCTTCACCCTATCCCTAATCTAAACTAAAGCAAACAAAAAAGCAGCCCATAGCTCTTCCTAACATTGCTAGCATGGTGGCTACCTCCCTCCCTCTCTTACACATATTAATGCATATGTTTACACCCTTTTACCGATCTGTTTCCATCTATCTAAGAACTAAGTAACAAAAGTTCGTTTCGTTTCCACCAAAATGACCAATACATTTCGGTTCGGTGGAAATCGAATCAAATGAGTGATGAAAAATCGAAACCAGGTTTTGAAATACTTCAGCCACTATTTTGGAATGTTTCAAAATCAAAATCTCAGTGTTTTTTTCCTATTTCCACTGTGTGTCAAAACGTTTCCTTTGCCAAGTTAATCTAAATTATATGTTGAAACAAAATTTTGATCCCTGCTAAGAATAACCTATCTAACATTTATTCAGTCCTTCTAACACGTCTCTCTCTCTCTCTCTCTCTCTGTGAGTGTGCACACGTGTGGTACTGGGTGAACCAGTGAGACTATAAGGGCAAGGGCAAGGGCAAGGAGTTGAAGGGAGACCTATTTAATGATATGCTCAAGCAAATACAAAGATACTCCATGGAGATCTACACAGTGTAAATAATGAATGCTTAGGCCCAAAACTTTTTTTTTTTGATAGGAAACGCTTTGGTCCAAAACTTCTAAACTAAATTCCCTCTACAATAGGCAAAACACATATTCATTAACAAATTTAGAAACCAGCTTCTATATCTTGATCTAGATACCATTGCCTCCTAAATCTTCAACCAGCATCAGATCACAACCTCCAAATATCCAAAGTTTCTTTACAGGTCAAATTGATTCTTAAGGCCAAAGGTTTTGTTTTTCATATACAACTCTCATTTTTCTTCTCTCGTTATTAGATTATTAGATTATCTTCAACTCATCTATACCAAATCATGTTGGCAAAAGTTGGCATAAATGGACACCATTCTAGACCAAGGTAAGGGTCCATACTGGGAGAATGATATATGAAGAGCAAGAATAGAGAGACACAATCATGCTGAAAAAACAAGGGATACTAAATTGGTGATTTGCAAATTTCCATTCATTGAGAATCGTAGTTGAGCAGAAGAAGGATTTATAAAGCACAAGGTGTGAGCTGATGAGCGTTCTTAGATGTATCCAGGTCAATAGCCTGTGAGTTGTCTTCACGAGTGACTACACAGAGGTTATAAACTCACCTTTTTCTGAATATAAAAAGGCAAGTCAAGGTGATTCTATCCTAGTAAAAGTTACACCTACTTTTGGTTTCAAGGGAAGTGCGACAATGACCTCAGGGAACTGGAAACCACTCAAATCTGCATAATTGCAATGTTCCTTCAGTTTATAATCCTTTGGACTCCAAACCCAAACTTAAAAGCAAAATTAATTGCAAATAGGGAAGGTCTACCTACAAAAATTCTTCCATATCAGTGTAGGACTGAGTTTTTCTTTTGTTTGTCGATCATCCTCAGGAAAAACATTTCCGTTTCATGAAATGTTCACCGATTATTAGGGAAAAGCATAAAAGAAATGCAGTTCAATATAGAACTCATTGTTCTCACAATTCCAACCCCATCCCGCCCCCACCCCCAATCAAAACCCAAATCCTAGATCCATCTCTGGATCCATCCCACAAAAAGCCATACATCAATGAAGCTCAAACCAAAGTCTACATTTTTCTTAATCTTTTAACAGATCAGAAAGCATAGCATACCCAATTTCTAATAATTAGCATTTCCTATATTCTCAACAGATACATACTAAATGCTCAATCTACAAAATCAAGTTTGGCATTCTTCAAACCCCATGTTTAAAATTCAAACAACAAAATTACTGAAAATAAACTACAATAAGCAAAGAAGAATATCCTCACTGCAGAAATACAATTCACCTGATAATATTTTCCATCCAGCTTCTTAATACCATACCCCAACTGAACTTTTCCGAAAGACTTCATATCTGTGAGCACTCCTTTTTTCATGTAGACATGTTTTCCTACTCGAGCCACCAAGTCCATCAAAGCCTCCTGCTTCACATGGGGTTTCAACAACAGCATACAGTCATAAAGAGGCATTTTCTTCTTCTTCTCTATCCGATCTTCTGGGTTCGTCAAGGGCAATCCGTCAATTCATCTAAAACCCTAAGGGTCGGTTTGGTAAAGGTTCGATTTACAATTTTTTCGTTTTTGTTTTCAATTTTGTAGATAATCTGAAATTTAAACTTAGCAACCATTTTCCTGACCCAAAAAAAAAACTTAGTAACCATTTTAGTTTTTTTTTTTTTTTTAACTAAAGCTTTTTTCAAATATGGCTAAGAGCATTTCGCACCCTTACTCAAATTTAAACTAAAATTTAAATTTAAATAAAAAAGTCTAAAAAATTTATTCTAACCGTTGAGTCAAACTTATATCAAATTAAGAAAAACTTATTTTTTTACTCAAATCAAGAGAAATTCAATTTTTTACTCAAATTTTTAATGATGAGATTTTATCATCTTTTAAAAATCTAATAGTTATCCTTACTCCATTTTAAATTTGAGTTTGTCCTTATTTAAATTTGGGTCTATCATTCTTTAAAATTGAGTTTGTCCATTGGAGTCATTTATATAAAATCAAACTTTTTACTCAAATGTTAATTTAAATTTAAATAAAAATTTGAATCATGGTTAGAGATGCTCTAAGATTTTGGAAACAAAAAAAAATCGTTTCCAAAAAAAAAAAAAATTAACAGAAACGGGCAGAAGCCATTTAATGAGATCCTACCATCGAGTCTTGTTAGCAACAAACTAAACCCTCATGCAAAAATATTAAACCCTCAAACTCTCTCTCATTCCCTTCGTCTCTCTCATTCCCTTTGTCCAACAGAGAAGCGTTTTAGCAGCTCAGACGTCTTGCAGCTTCATTCTAGTAGTTCAAAGACGTCTAGCAGTATCTTTGTTCTAGAAACTTCGTCTCTCTCGTCTGAAGCTCTCTCACCAAGGTAAGTCTTTAGGTCTAGGGTTTTCAGAATTTTTTTCCTATCGATCTCTCTTAGTAGCTAGATTTCTTTATATTAGATCTATAGGGTATTTCTAGGTTGTTTCTTTGTGCTAGATTTATGTATTAGATCTATAGGTTGTTTCTTTATGTTAAATCTGGTTTTTTTTATGTTTGATCTGATTTTTTTTTAAAAATTATTAGATCTAGTTTTTGTGTTAGATTTGTTTCTATGTGCTTTTTTATATATTTTCCTGTGTGTTAGACTTTATTATGTATGAGATCCATTCACATATTTTTTGTGTTAGCTCTGATTTTTTTTTAAAAATTTATTTTTTGTGTTAGATCTGATTTGTTTTGTTCGCAAGCCCATCTATCATCTGCATTTTTTTGTGTTATATCTGATTTGCTTTTTAAGTTGTATATTGGGTTAGAAGTTTCAGATTGGGACATTTTCGATGATCTGATCATATTTGTTACTCTATTTTGTTTTAATCCATGATTTTCCCTTTGAATTTAATGTCCATGCACTAAAAATATATGATTTCATCAAATTTTTCCATATATATGACGTTACTGGAATGTGTGGTTGTAGATGGTGAATACCAATGTAAGCAATATAGGTAGTGACGATATGGTTAAGGTTCAATCCACAAAATCTGGTACCCCATGGGTTGCTAAGAGTGAGACAATTTTTATAGATTTAATGGATGAGCAAGTTGCAAAAGGAAATAGATCAATTACTAACATTCAAAAGAGAAGCGTAGAACAACATTCTTCAGGAACTGAAAAGAGGAACTGGGTATTCATATAACCATGAGTAACTTAAGAATAAGTTTAATACTTTGAAGCGAGTATGGGGTGATTTCCACAAACTAGTTAATGAAACCATGAGAGTTGATTGAGATCCCGAGAAAGGGACAGTGACTCTACTAGATGATGTGTGAAAAAATTTGTTAAAGGTACAAATTTTTATTTTGTTCAAATGTGATATGATTTTCATTAAAGGATCATTACTGGAATGTTTTTTCATAATAATCCTATATTGTTAGGTCAATAAGCTGCCAGAAAATTCAAGAAAAAGGTTGTCCACATTATGAGGTATTGTGTAGAATCAATATGGACATAACGATAATTAGTGAACATGTTTACCCTTCAACCAAACCTCTCTGTGATGATGAACATGACCACAATTATGACCCAAAAGATGACGATAGATATGTAAATGTCGATGACAATGTGGATGATAATCCAGCTACTACCAATCGTAATCAAAGCATTTTTGTACTCGTGCCCTTGCCAATGCACTAAACATGTCAGCTAAAACTACAAAGCTAAGATCGGAGTTCTACGAGAAAAAAATGGCAAGTGGTGGTTCGTCATCGACTTGTGCATACTCTATGGTTGATTCAGTGACTATGATTGACCCACATCCAGACTTGTTGAAAGACTGCATCAACGCTTTGAACTCTCTTGAGGACATTAATGATGCGGCTTATACAAAAGTGTTAAAATTGATGTATGATGATGCTATGTGGCAGAAAGTGTTCTTGGAGTTGCCTGATTATGACTATGTTCTAGAAATATTGCATGGACATGATGACAAGTGTAATGATCAGTTTTGGATGGAACCCCCGTGTGTTTATTTTGTTTTGTGAAGAACTAAAAAGTAATGGGAATATGACAAACTCTAGGTATGTGACAATTCAAGATCAAATAGCTATTTTTTTACTAATTATATCTCACAATGAAAGAGACCGTTTGGTAGAAGAGAAATTCCAACATTTAGGTCACATTATTTCCACATATTTTCATCGTGACTTTGAAGCAGTTTGTCAACCTGGCGTGCACATTATTAGACCTCCTAATTTCAATATTGTTCCACCTTCGATTTGACACAATCCTAATTACTATCCATTCTTCAAGGTAATGTATATTCTATTTCTTATTATTTGTTATACACATCATTATGCATATTAACATTCTATTATGTTTTAGAATTGTGTCAGTGCTATAGATGGAACTCATGTTGATGCACGTGTACCGGTGAGTAAGTAAATCCCATACCATGGTAAGAAAGTTGAACCAACACAAAATGTCATGTGTGCATGTTCGTTCGATATGCGATTCACATTTGTTATGAGTGTGCATGTTCATTTAATATGCGATTCACATTTGTTATGAGTGGTTGGGAAGAAATTGCTAATGACTCGAGAGTATTTATTGAGTCCATTAACAATCTAGAAAATAATTTCTCAATGCCTGAAGGAGGTAATATTCTTCATTGTAACCTTTCTTTCCATTTGTAGAATTTGTAACTTATCACTTAATTTACAAGTGTGCCATTTGACAGATAAATATTATGTTATTGATGTTAGATATACGAACATGCCTGGGTTTTTGTTACCGTATCATGGTGAGAGATATTATTTACGTGACTATAGAGGTAGTGGCCGATGTCCAAGGAGTAAGATAGAGCTATTCAATTACCGTCAGTCATCACTTTGGAATGTCATTGAGTGCTGCTTTGGAGTGCTAAATGCTCGATTTTCCATTCTTTAAACAAATGTCCCCTTACTAAGAACACAAAAATACATTCTAACAGTTTGTTGTATAGTCCAAAACTTCATTAGAATGCACGTTGCTCAAGATCAATTATTTGATGAGTTCAGTAATGAAGAAAGGGTGGATGATAATGCAGGATCGACTTCACAGAACTCGATTGAAGTAAATATTAGTCAAACTCAGCTTCGTCAAATGGCTCGTGTGTGAGATTACATTGCCAATGAGTTGTGGGCAAGTGTTGGACAGTGAAGCATATGATTTTAGGTGTATATGGATTATTATCTCGAATTATTATCAATGAGTTGATGTTTATATAAATTATTATCTTGGATGTTTGTAAATTATGGGATATATTTGTAGTATGAATGTTTTTTGAATTATGTTATGCCTTAGTGTGTTATCCTTATATTATGATATTTTTATAATTAAACTAGCATAGAAGTGTATGGTGTAAATAAGTTGTTTATAAAACAATTTAGAAGTGTTTATTAAACGAGTTTTCTGTTTCTATTTTCATTTTTTATAAAAAGAAAATCAAAACTGTTTTAGTTTTTATTTTTTTTTAAATTGAAAACCGACAACATTTCCGAACGCAACCCAAGCTTTTCTATGTTTTGGGGAGTGGTTATAGTGTTTTCTAGAGGATGGTGAATTCTAATGCTGACTAAAAAAAGACGAGTTGTAATCTCGGTCAAATATCTGATTTCAAAATTTGATAATTTTTTTAAAAGTTAGATTACTTGGATTTACCTTTATGAAATTTTCATTTTGGCAGAGATGAGATGTCTTTGATTAGATCAGAGAGTGGATTCATCAAGGTGTGGGTGACCCGACCAACCTTAATTGTAATATACAAAAAAAATAAAAACATGGAACAAAGTGATATATTAACGATGTATTTTGCATAATTTTAAAACCTAACCCAAACATAAACCCGGTAAAAGAACTGGATCAATAGATCACTTGTATATAATAAAAAAAAAAAATAATACTGATAATAATAAATATGCTAAATTTGAAATAATTTTTCACATTAAAAAATTGATATCCTCCAATTTTATATTTTAAGCATAATTTGAAATGAAATTCTAGAAAATGTAGAGCGAAGCCTCAGCTAAAACCCAAATGCCATTCTAGCAAAGAAAACAACTAGTAATAGAAGCAAAGAGAAAGCTAAGAGCTCAAAATTATGATTCAATAACAAGGTCTCAACCCATATGTATGTTTAAGATTTACAAGTATAACAGAATTTTAGTATATAATTTTCAATCAATCCATCTCCAGCAGCAAGTGTTTCAAATTCTTCATTGACTTCAGTCCACACAATTAAAAGTTAATTCTATAATTACTAAATAATTAACCAAAAATAGAACATACAAATACAATTGTATAACACAAAACAATCAGTGTCTCCATATATTATAGATACACACTCAAACAACGACTAAGTGAGAAAGTACCTGTTAAGTGTAGGAAATGCAACAGGATATTAAACAAAAATTCTAAGCCTATTTTAGTTCAAAGGCAACAAAACA